CTGGTAATTACAGATGATGGTCTTATGGCTAAGATTTTTAGATTATTTTAGTTTCAAAATGTTCTGAATCTCTTGTATTTTGCTCTGTAAAAATAATTACAGGGATTATTGGAATCTTTTGAGTAAACCAGTGTCTATAAGAATGCAGATCTGAGGTTTGAGGATTAATCTAAGGAAGAGGGGATATTGATAATTTCTTATAGGTAATTACAGATGATGGTCTTATGGCTAAGATTTTTAGATTATTTTAGTTTCAAAATGTTCTGAATCTCTTGTATTTTGCTCTGTAAAAATAATTACAGGGATTATTGGAATCTTTTGAGTAAACCAGTGTCTATAAGAATGCAGATCTGAGGTTTGAGGATTAATCTAAGGAAGAGGGGATATTGATAATTTCTTATAGCAAAGAAGATGGTAGTGGTGAACAATTTGGTTTACATCATAATGGCTAATTTAAGTAGAGAGAGGTAATGGAAAGCAGTCCAGTTTACCATGTCTCGTGAAGGTATAGCCCTGGGTCAGGAGTTACTGTCTCCCGCAGCTGACTGTGGGATATCAGTTCATTGTGAATGAAAAGGAAAACATGCTCATTCAAACCACTTTTGCTCTGCATTTGGCTTTTAGAATGTCTGAGAGAATAATTTACTGCAAGAAAGATAGATGCGATCTCACACCGGATACAAAATTATCCCCCAATATCAACATACAGACTGAGGTCAATGTGTGGCACGTGACAGTGCATATGGTTAAAGATATCGTTGCAGGGATTGAAATGAAGCTGCATTGCTTCCCAGAGGTAGGGGCCTGGGAGCAATGAACACAGTGCATTTACATCATCTCACTTGAGGGGCAGGAACTTCTTAAAATGTGCTCATGCGGTAGCTTAAGCTGTTTATCTCTAGCATAACTGTTCCTGTGGAATTCCCTTTGTAGATCCTTGTCCTAACGAGTCTTCCACGTGGGCTGCACAGGCTCCTCAGTGGTTTTATCGAGCCCTTTTGGTCTATCAAAGCTGTGAGCCTTCCTGCGTGCATGGTATCAAGAGTAGCGCATGCGAGCGGAGCAGTGCATGACACCATTCCAGCTCCCCTCTCAGCCTGAGGGCACGCACTGCTTTCTGCTGCAGTGCAAATGGGTACACAGCTAGTAATTTGTTTGCTTTAAGTATTTAAAAATATTTTAAGAGAAGATCAGCAGATCCAGGTACTGTGTGACGCATTATGAAATTCAGTTTTACGATAGTGTCTGACAGTATATCATACCTCCTCCAGTCCTGAAAACTTCATATGGTGGGCACATTAACTGCAGGCACAGGTTGCACTAATGTGGGAAGAGGTGGGTGGCCTTTTGGGGAGTCTAGACTGAAGAATACAACAATCTAAATAATGATATTCTAAGGTTAACACCTGGAATTACCTAGAAAGGAAAACGCTGCTAGGAAGCCAGTGCAGTTTTGGAGTGCTGGAGCACTGCGTGACTTGCATCAGGCATAACTGAGCAGAAAGGAAGGGACTGAATAAATGTTTTCTCATGGAATCCTGCCCAGGAGAGTCTTTTGTGTAGATGAGTAATGGGGTCTTTTTAAAAGGTAAGATCAGAACCACCCAAGTGACCCTAGTCTTCCCTGCCAGAGTTTACAAGCATATCAGCAAAACCTCATAGTCAGCTGTATCAGAACTTCTGACAACATGAAAAGTAATATAATAAATAAAGACAGCAGAAGGTATTGACTCCAGAATCTGCTGTTGCCTACGATGGATGGCAGAGGAAGCAGAGGAGGGGTGGCCGCTGTCCCTTATAATGCATCACTGAACTTTCAGATCTTAAAAGTTGGTGGAAGATATTGTCCCAACACACACTGCGTTCAGTGCCAAGGAACAAATAGGTAAAAGAATGGATTTAAAGAAGCAATTTAATCCCTGGCATGAATGTTGATGATCAGCCTTGATCATAGTTTGTAACAAAGTATTAATCTCGCATGTTTCTATGCTAGAGTAATCTCGCATTTGTTTTATTTACAAAATCAGATTTCTTTGTCGTAACATAATCTATTAAATTCTTTCGCCAGTCAGACACTGTGAAAACCAAATGAAGGGCATTATTGAATACTGTGTTCTGTTTGAAAATAAAAACACTTCCATGAGCTTAAAAACAGTGAAGCCAGGTTTCCCATAGATTTGTGCCTTGAAGTTCCCACACGTTTTCTGGCTGAACTCGCCCTGCAGCTTTTCCCGTTGTAAGGTCGCTAGTGAAGTCTCTTTCCTCTGTCCACGTTCTTTAGGAATCTCATGGGAGTTGAATATCTTTGATGATTTTACCTTCTTGCAAATCTGGTTAATATTGGCCAATAGGATTGAATATTGCAATAGCCGGGTGTAAAAACCTAAAGCATAATGCCAGATTAAAATAAAACAAATGAAGTGAAATGTGGGTGAAAAGACTGAGCGTTCAATGTTCTGGTAGTGGCCTTGTGTTTGAAGACTAAAGAAAATGAGATAATTTTTGAAGAACATAAAATCCTTACTGTTAGTAATGAATAGTATTGTTCAGCTTACTGGGTACAACCATACAAATTCGAAATTAGCATATGGATACAGACACTAATTCAAGACCTCAGCATCAAGTCTTAGTTATTGCTTGTATTTCCAATGCATCTCCTTGTTTTTTCACCCCGTTGACACTGTTTTCTTCTACAACCTTCAGCTAGGACCCTCGCTGTTTAGGAAGTGTTCAGCTGTAAAAGGGAATATATCGGTATTTAATGGGATAGGCTGTGTAGTATGGCTGGACTTTCAGAAGATGGTGTGGCTGCGTGCACTCAAATCCATTTGGGTGTCTGTTTCTCCTAGGCGTCTGAAAATCACAGCTTGTATGGTGTGAGAAAAGGCTTTAAACACAGGGCTTGTATTTAAACCAAAGAGTTAGCATATGGTATCTATTGGCAAAAGCGGGCTCTTTGGCAGTGCTATGATAATTATATTCCATTTTAAGCTCAGAGAAGGCTTAAGATCAGGCTTTTGGTAACTGATACCACTGTCGGGTGACTGTGGTAAACCAGAGAATTGGAATACTGTTAGCTTTGAAATACAGATCACCGTTACATTTGACTCCCAAAATGTATTTACACAGGCGTTGTAATTAGAACTGCAGATAAGCCATATTGGACAACTTCCATGTAAAGTTGCTTTAAAAAGATTAAGGGATGACATTCTCACCCGCTGAAGTCAATGGGAGTTTTGCCAGTTGCTTCACTCAAGCCAGGAGTTCACCCCAACGCAGAAATGCTTCCTAAGTTGTTAAGGTTGTGACATTCCCTGGCTTGAACAAGGACATATTAAATCAGTCAGTGTTTCTTGTGGTCTGTTGTTATTCCTGTCTGTTCTGTCTCGGTTTTCTTCCCTTGTTTCCAATTGATTCTACCTTAATATTTCCTATGTTTGTCAGCATTTACCGCAACTTTAACATTATTTAAGCACAGGTTTTTAAATGTAACTAGATGTAGAGGCAATTAATGATGCCATCTGTCTTGTGAGAGAGAGATTACACAAAAGATTGTGCTTCTGAAAGCACTATTTTTTTGGCAAACAAGAAATCCTATTAGACTCTCAGAACAGTTGCTCACTAACTTCAGAAGTGCCCACTTTAATGCAGTAGCTGAAAGGCTCAGATACATTTCCTGGAAGTACAGTATACTTAGGCATTCTTTCAAAGTTATATTTTACAGAAAATATCATCCAATACATGATATTTTCAGTAAACCTAAAAATTAAATATATCATTGAACATCTGTTACCAATACACTCCGAGTATCTAAATACTTAAAAATCCCTGAAATGTTCATAAAGTTACATGCTACATAAATACAACTCTTTAAGAAATGTGAAGGGCCAAATAAGTGAAAACATATTTCTGCCTTTGCGGACTGAGCAGCTGTATGCTGCAATACATGTCTTCACACATGCTTCCCCCATGCACTCGTGTGAAGGGGACTTCAGAGCGGAGGAAACGCACGCATGTTCTTTGAGTTTCAGGCTCTTCATCTGAAAGCCTTTAAAAATCTGTGTGTCATAAGCATTAAGTTAATTTTGATATGAACAATGGGATATTGTTTATATTTTTAAATATTGCTACTGTTAGCGAGTATTTTCCTTCAACACGCTTTTGTCATATTGCTGTGTTTGGAGCACTAGCAGCAAAGACACTCTGCGTGATGGATAAGGAACAACGCATGTCTGTCAAACACACAAGTCAATGGGAATCCAGAGCGAATGTAGAAATGAGAAAGTAATCTCTGGGTCGCTGTAGAGCTTTGTGCCCATCACAGACACAGTGGTGTCTTTACTCTCTTGCACTTCTTGCGGTCTACACTGACCAAAAGGTGACAAGAGGGATGCTGTCCTCAGGCCCCGAGGAGCTGGGTGATGCTGTAACCTTTCAGATGTAAGATACATTGCCTCCTATTTCCACTGGGCTTTCCATGTGCTTCTACTTGGTACCCAAGTCTCTCCCAGCTCCCTTTCCCTCGTCCTAACAGGGGAGCTTTTCAGTCTGTCACTGCGTGTGCAGTGCAAGCTGGCCTGTTTGCCACTTCTTCTATGTAGAGCAATTAATTCAGAGACATCTACAGATTGTATCATCCTCCATCTACATATAGCTCTTCCTTGAATTATGATAGAACTGGAGGAGGCTGCAGTTTGCAACCAACAGCATTGAGGGTAGTGCCTTGTAGGAGGATCTAACTCCTGTCTGACAGTCTTCACACCTCTCTGTCCTGCGGTCTACTGCACATTGTACTTCATTTCCTGCATTTCATTGTTTATTTTGTGTATAACTGAGGCTAAGATTGGAGTCGCAGTGCTGGGTTAGCTGAGGAAGGTGGCAAGGCAGAGTCTACTGCTGCCCACATCGCTCTCTGCGCTGCACACCCCGGAGCGCAGCATGGGGCTGAGCACAGCGAAGGCACCCACGGGATTATGCATCGGCTGCCACAAGCCGCCTGGCTGTGAGCACCCCGGCAGGGATCTGAGGGGCAGAGAAAGCTGGGGACTTGACATAATTCTCTGTTTGCCTCGGGAATCTATTTCTGTCTTGGTTATAAGCATCTGTGATTTGCTCCCGAGGGAAAGGGAGATGGAGATATGCTGGTTTCGCTGTCTTGGGGGAAAAAGTGGAGGAGAAAAAGTAGGTGCGTGTCTTGGACTGAATTGCTTCTGATTCCCACTCTATTTCCCAAGACTGATCTGTAGGAGCAAGGCCTTGACCCTTCGAAGTGAAGTCTTGCATAGTATTGACTGAATGCTGCTCAGATCCCAACTTGTCAAGGAGCTGCAACTAAGTAAGTCCGTTTAATTGAGTGGGACTGCTTGAATGCATAAACTTGCTTACATCCATAGATTTGTGGGCAGATAATTTGGAGAAGGGGGTCATAAGTCACCTTTTTCATTGGTCTGATAGCTTACACAGCCTCGTACCTCTCGCAGCAATAGTGAGAGGACACTGGATTAAGTTCAGTTTGGGCGCAGAGGAAAAGATGAGGCAGAACATACCAAAAAGAGAATTATAGAGCTGGGAAGGTTTAGGGTGGGTATTCTCCCTCCGTTCCAGTCCAGTGGCTTAAAAAGACCCTGAGGAGGATGGCTTCAGGGCTGCCAGCCAGCGTCAGCCATGCAGGCAGGTCTGGGGTTAGGAAGAGCAGAGTACAGATGTCTCTGAAGCCCATCGGTCCACTCTGGCGTTACAGTTTAGTTAATGCTTTGGGGGGTGCTTTCAGTGGGATGCATTCTTCTGTATTCACATATGCGTCTTAAGATTTCTCCAGACAGAATGTAGCATTTTCTATATGTTATTTTCAAACAAGAGCCGCAGTGTTTTCATTAACCATCTTCCAGTCTGATATTCAGCAAAAAAATAGGGCCAGTTCTAGGGCCCTAAAATTTAAGTTTTTGGGCCAGCACCAGACCATACCAGCAGCTGCCACGAGATGGCAGCCGGATAAGATCTTGTCTGAGATCGCTGCTGAAATAATCAATTCTATTGCGAATTTTAAAAGTCATAAAAGAAGCTCTCTTTTCAATGCCCAAGTTGCATTAATATTTTATTAA